TCTCTCTCTCTCTCTCTCTCTCTCTCTCTCTCTCTCTCTCTCTCCCCCTACCCTCTAAGTCTAAGTCTACTTCTGGGCTACTCCTACTGGACTACTACGAGTATGAAGGATGGTTACGAGTTCTGATGATGTGGGGATAGCAACATTGAGACGGCAGGTTGAGGACTACTTTTAGGATCTGATTTTCATCTACTTCTGGAGATGTACCTTGACATTGTGGGATCGATATCTGAGACACTGTGAGACTCTGTGTTCACGACATTTCGGATTTTTGCTACTTCTGATATTTCGAGATACTATCTTTGGAAACATTGAGCTGACGTCATCTTCCCTCTCCTCCTCCCTTCGTCTCTCCGCCCCTCCATTCATCCGTGTATGAGAATTGACCCTGGCCTTTTCTTCTATGTCCAAGGCCAGGGCTTCACACCACCGATGTATGTTTGTGAGTGTTTCGTTGCAGTCTGAGTCAGGTCTGGGTCAATCCATGTATCTCAAGTCTTTCACTGTATTTGTATTTACTCTGTATTATCTGGTCGGTTCTGGGAATCTGCGCCATACTTATGACTGTGTTTCACGAGTATGCAACACTATACCTTCATGTTGCAAGTGCAGTATCTGGCGAGTGTGACTCTGAAATTGTATCGAAGCAAGTAAACATGATTGCATGTCTTTGGTGTGATTCACATGCCTGCACGCTCACATGGTTATGGATGATGCATGAGTAGGAGTCTCCTTACAATCAAACATTTCTCAAAACAATACCTTCCGTATATGATTTGGTATGTATCAAGCACTGGCTCCATGTGCAGCCTCATAAGAAGCTATGAAACACAGACCTGAAGAACTTGAAAGACAAGTTAGGAGGAGGAGGCGGAGGAAATGGTGGAGGTAAGCACAGACCTGAAGAAATTACAACACAAGTTAGGAGGAGGAGGAGGAGGAAAGGAACTGGTGGAGGTGGACTAAACTACAGGCTGAGCAATGCAAGCAGTTTAGCAGCAAAAACGGCAGTCAAGATGTCCAATTCTGCAGAGTGTTAACAAAAAGCCCAAGTGTGACACCATGATCCCATATGTATCCTTGAGAATGCCTAAAGGCTGGCTAGACTGGTCATGGGCCAGTGAAAAATGGCAGGGAACTGGCCAGTATGCATCCAAAGTCCGAAGATGATATTTCAGGATGGGAGGGGCAAAGAAAAGCAAAAAGCACTATGCTGGGCCATCGCCCGGCAAAACCAGGCAGGTAAAAAAAGAGGCCAGGATCCCAAGAAAAAAAATACTGTTCAGGCCAGGACTTCGCTTGGCCTGAGCAGTCACAATCCAGCCTTACCTTCCATTTCGGTGATGTGTCACCCAGGGGGGGTTGGGGGGTATAAACAGTGACTAAAGGGGTTTAAACTTTAAAAGGGTATATCTTACCTCGTGTTTCCTCATTCATTTTTATCTGAAAATTAACAATGAATTTTGAGGGGACACTCAGCCAAAAGTTGTTTGCATTGCAATTTTATTATTTTACACAACATATTTCATGCGTTAAGATACAAAAGTTGTTTGTATTCCATTCCAAGAACACAACGCAGCATCATTATAACTGTATCACCTCAGCAAGTTTCATGCGTTAAGATACAAAGTGAAGCATCATCTGTATCATCTGGAACAAGCCGTTGTCTCTGGGCGTGACGCTACCGAGGGAAGACTGCCATAGAGCATGACAACTTGTATCATTTCTTTTTTTTTTTCGTTTTCCAATTCTTGTCATCCTTGCGCAGGGGTCATGCTAATCTTCTCTGTACAGTTCCGATTTTAACAGATTGAATTGAGTTCGATCCGCAAGAAAAACAGAGGGCATTGGAAAAGAAAGAGCAGCAGAAAAGAAACAGCAGAAGAGCTCCCATAAACATTAGAGCCCAGGGCGGTGAGCTCATTAAAAAGAAAAAGAAACAACAAAAAGACTACATTTGGGAACACTTTTTGATTTTTTTTCCCACTTTCAAAACAAAAACCAGTGAGCACCTAGCAATTGACTGGCAATGTCTGACATACTTCTTGCTGTGATTCCAGACTGCAAACCATCAGGGCCTCGCCATACCACTGTCGAAACAAAAGAAATATGAGTGCATCTTCCACAGAGAGTGAGAATATGCATCCGTTACTCGTCATAGAAACTGACGCAGGAACATGCGCTTGTACCTTATTTGTCTCAACAGTGGTGTGGTGAGGCCCTTGAGCAAGAGTCACAGATCAGCTGATATTGTCTCAAAAGTCTCAGATATGGGATAAAATTCCTCCTCCTCTAGTCTAGAAATACAGTTTTACACTTGAAACTGCGTAGCAACCCATAGTACCATACACGTACACAACATGCATGTACTCCGTACGTGAAACCCGCGTACAGATCTGTGTACACGTACTCCATGCTACCCAGCTTCAAACTTAAAATTTACAAAGTTTTCATTTGAATAAAAAAAAAAAAAAACAGATAACCCGAATCATACTAAGATGTGTCAAGACGCAGAAGGCGAACAGGTTTCTCGAAGCAGCGAAGAGGCTGAGATCACTGAGACATGAATCATTTCCAGGAGAGACGGAAATCAGCTCTCTCTCTTTTTTTTCAAGAGAGAAAGAGACAAGTCTCACCTGCAACACAAACTCAATGATAGTTTGATCTATGTCAGGAAACGCATCCATTAGGAACTTCAGTGTACTTTCCTCCGCCGTCGAGTTATCACTCCGCTGGTGTGGGACCTCGACAGAAAATCTCATCTCCTCTGCCGTTTGGTTTGAAGATGCCACTGCTGCTTCGTCTCTCCGATCGACCCTTGCAATGATGGATCGGTCGTCGTTCTCGCATTCATTAAAGGCCATAATGTTTAGCAGTGTATCCACACTCTGGAAACATGAAAACAACAAAGAAAATATCAATTAGCAATCAAGTGCATGATACACACCTATACTTAGTCATGAAATGCTAAACCACCGAAGGGTGTAGCTTAGTTGGTACACCCGTGAACTGTTGAAATACAGACCTAAGTTTGAACCCAGATGGAACAAGATGAATGAAATTAAATTCTGAATGACCTGTGGCCAGTTAGATTGAAGATAATACCATAGTATCTCAAGGCCATCGCCCTCTAAAAATATAAAAACTAGAAGCTACTAGAATTTCTTCATTATGAAGGAAATTTGGTTTGAACTTAGCAAACTGAATAGTAAAATGCCAAGTAAAGTTAGTAAACCAAATTCACGCATTCTGATTCTTCTTTTTTCTCTGTCCGGACTCTAAGATCCCACGTTCCTCGCGTAAAACATAAATCGTGGGTTTATGAAAACGCGCGAATCAATCACTTTGAAAAAACAAATGATGGAGTGTTGTTTTCTAGCGACTTTCTTCTGCTCAGTTGGGATATATATTAAATATTATACCCTCAAGTTGCCTGCACCCTAATTGCTCTGGGCGATGGATAATTGCAGTGAACCCAATCTGAAGAGAAGCTCGTCAGTGTCGGAACACAGAATTCCACAGTGCAGTTTCAGTGTCTCCAAAATCGTACATATAGTCCGGTAGCCCAACGTCTGGTCACCAGAGGAGAGGATGGTGGAAGGAAGATAAGACTTCGAAGGTGGAAGAGAAAGTGCCCATCAACATAGAAGATATATCTCCCTCACAGTCCCGCTTCTTCTCCGGGCATCTCCCTCTCGCCACATCAGCAGACAGTCCTCTCTGACACACTCTGACAATGAGCTTATCTCATCATGGCACTTGCCAGCACAGACACCTTATGAAGACGGACAGCAGTGCGCAATGCCGACTACGAGCGCAACCCGGTAAGCTTCCTCCACATTGACCAATCTCAAAGCCCTGGTCCTTATCCTCCTCGCCAGTACCCCATCAATGTCATAAACAGTGTTGCGAGAGCCACATCAGCATAATCAAGTGTCCAGCTGGCGCCTGAAGACAGAGAATGGTGCCAGCACACAGCATCAACAGTCCTGCGTCGTCGCATCAAGATAGCATCCAGCCAGCGTAGTGCCAGCGTCAAGCCAGCATCAAGCAGGATGTGCAAGACTGAATGTCGGTCAGCAGGGGCTGGGTCAACTTATAGTGTTGACTCTGGTTGACCAGCCTCTGGTCTCTCAGATACGATGGCCCAGATTGTCTCACAGCCAATGGCCTGGATCCTGTACAGTTGCAGATTCCCACTTGGACTTGATCCCTTACAAATACCTGCAAACAGCCAAAGGTGTGTGTCTGATCGGCGGCCTGGACTGGGTCCATGTTGACTTTGATTCGTGGGCCTGAATTTCCGAGCTGCTGTTGACCACGGTCAACTGTCGCACGTTGGGCCACTGAAGGCCAGTGTTAGGTCTTGCTGAGGGTACCCCACAGCAGCAAGCCTTTATCCAGGCAGTTTACATGGCTTGGGTGTGGCCTTTGACCCCTATTTCGGCCCTTTGGCCAAAATGACGACCCACAGCCCACGACTGATGCATGATTTGAGCTGAGTTATTGCATAATTGGCATTAATTGCATATTTTTCAAGTGCTATGACGCTATCTATATATCTATCTATCTATCCATCTATCCATCTATCTAACTATCTAGCGATCTATCGACTGATATCTATGAGCTAAAAAAAAATAATATTTGATCCGTGGCTGATCGGGTTTAAGAAGGGGGGAAAAAAAGAAGAGCGCACTTTGTGAGACCAAAATGAAGAAAAGAGAAGACAGCATGGGGCACACTGAAACCGTCGTTTTCATATTTTCCTGCACAGTTCTTCCTTTTCATTACCTGGTGTGAGCAACCCAAAAGTGTTCTGTGGAGGTCTGAGACACACAGAACCGAATCCACAAACACACACACACACACACACACACACACACGCACACACACACACACACACACACACACACACACACACACACACACACACACATACTCATCATTGTCATCAACCAACAACAACTTACAATGCACACCTCAAAAACAAAAGGCAATATAACAAAGGCATTGAAACGGTTTTCACCTTTGTCGTAACAGATGCAGATCCCAGGGCTCGATCCCTAGACCTTACCTCACCCGTGTACAGTATCAAGTCGACCCTTGTGTGTTTTGAACCCGTGACCTGTGTTTTGATAGCTGACTGTTGTCTGTCATAGGTCTGTGTAGGTGTCGGGTCTTGAACTGTAGGTCTGTCGAGTAGGGGTCATAGCTGTGTAGAGGTCATAGCTGTTGCAACAAAGGTCAAGGTCGTAGCTGCTACAGTCCGGAAAGGTCAAGGTCTTAGCTGCTACAGCTCCGAAAGGCCAAGTCCACAGACTTCCGGAAGGTCCGGAAGTGGCCTTTTGAGTGTTGCTCACGTTAGGACAGAGGAGGCGATTTTATACGTGTCGAGGGCAGAACAGGAGGCAGTAATGAGAGAATCGGAGGCAGAAGAAGACCCTCTACGTCGCCAGACGATCGAAGAGGAGAAGAAGTTGGAGTGAAAGTTGCGTTTAACCAGGGAAAAGAAAAAGCGGATGGAGGCGGCAAGTAAGGTGGCGAAAGAGTTGGAGGTGGTGAAGGAGCAAAGGGCGCAAATGGAGGCGCAGCCGGATTGGCAAGGAAAAATGGAAGTTATGGCTAGGAATTTCGAACTCATGGCGAAGGCCCAAGAAGAGCAGTTTCAGTTTGCGAGGGGCCAGGATGTAGCCTTGCAATCCATACGATTGGGCTTTAGAGAATTCGCACGAGAGATGATGATGCACGTGGGCACAAAAGTGAAAGCGAGGATGGAGAGCACAGAGCGATTCTGCGCAGGCGCCATAGAAGGCACAAAGCTTGTTGCTCCAAGGGAGGAGGAAGCTCGCCCCCGTAGAGAGCCAGTTAAGGTTAAATTTCCTGATTCCTACAGTGGGAAAAAGGAAGAGAACTTTGATAACTCGGAGGCGAATGTTAATTCATACGTCCATCTACAAAAGATCATCCCTGAGGAACAAGTCCTCATCGCTTTCCACGCCCTCAAGGACGAAGCAGCGAGCTTCGCCCGATCACTTGCCCGCGCAACTAAGTGCGACAATGATATGGTAGCCTACTCCACAATCACCCCCCTCAATAAGTTTTTCAAATTGCTGCGTGAAAGATTTGCAGATGTCACCAAAGGGATTAAAGCCTCTAATAAACTGCAAACGATCCACTCACGTCAATAGAAGAGTGTCACGGCACTCAATGGAGTGATGGATGAGTTAGTTGTTGTCCCTGGCCATGGGGTTACTGAGTCCCAATCGGTCCAATTGTTCTATCGTGCCATGCCTGAGACCTTGCGCGGACATTTCTTTGAGAAAAGCAAGGAGTCCACTATGACTTACAATACTCTGAGTAGGGAAGTAGTGGCTTTTGAGGCCCATTCCATGCCAGCATCTACCTTCTGGCATAAAAATTTGGACAAGGGCCAAAAATGGAAAGGTCGTACCATCTTTGGCCAAGTCAGGGCCAAGGATCATATGATTCTTACCTTAGATGAAGGTGGCATGGAACAGGTCCCATATAACTGATAGAGTGGGGCCTAGAGGAGGGGAACAGTGGCGATGATCAGGGGAGGACCTACGCTGTTGTAGTGGCTGCGGGGAGGCCGCAAGGAAACGGAAGAGGCCAGGGCCAAGGGGGCCGGGCCTCTGGTGGTCGGGAACAGGGCGATCAGGGGGTTGGCAGCAGAGGAAACAACCAAGAGGGAGGCAGGGGTCAAGGTCCCCCCCACAACCGCTCTCGTTTTAACCGATCAGTGGATGGCACCCTGGCTTGCCACAAGGCAGGCCCTGGGAAGATCTGGGCCTAGAACAGACAATATGGCAGAAGAGAGTAGACCAGAATCAGTGCATCGATTGCAATGATCCGGGGTACATCATCAAATACTGCCCCAAATGTAGAGAGGCACGGTACGCTGCACAGGCAGCAAAAGGAAACCGCCGGTAGGGGTCGCAA